GACAAGGAAGCGGCAGCCATTGTACAAGAGGAACAAGCCCGTGCACGTGCATCGATGCTTTTAAAAACTTCTAGATTCACGGAAGCTTTTGAAAGGACAAGTGACGTTAACGAAGAACTCGTACAGGACATGATTGCATCAGCGATGGAAAATTCATCACCAAAACAACGCGGTACGCGTGCATTGATATCAAAATTCAATGCCATCAGTAATATAACCAAGGTCACTGTTAATAGTAATTTCTTTGCTAGTAGAAGGGATCAACAGGGTACCAAATTTGAACAGGACGTTATCAGAAAAACTAGAATAGAACAGACGGAATTTAAAGAAAATTCATCGAAATTCAGCCGTACCTGTCAAGGACAAAACGTTAAGGTATACGACAAAGATATTTCCAAATATTTTTTACCCCAGCAACCAAAAATTATTACGACAACTACGACGACGACTACTAAAGTTGAGAGCAAAGATTTGGAAAGTAAATTAGCAACGTCCGAAAATAAGTTACCACAGAAAAAGGATAACAACGATAGATTGATAAAAGAAACATCCAGTAGGATATCATTCTTACAAAGTCAACTAATTGCTAATCGAATGAACAACGAGCCTTTAACTTCTGCCAAAGATACGTTCTTACCATTGATGGAAGAAAAAATGAGATCTAAGAACGAACAAGTTGGGTTCAACGATAAAAGGGAAAAAGAAAGGAAAAAGGATAACGTTGTTTCGGGAGGAATAAGTGGAGATGGGGGTAAGGTTGGATACTTATTATCACGTCCACGTGATTCATCTAGCCCTAAAAGCATAGAAAATGTGTTAACCAAAGAGCCTAGAAAATTGTCCGAGCGTAACTTCGAGACTACGCAAAAAGAATTTTCAAATATTTTCGACGAAATTGAAAGACAATTGCGTATTAGAAAAGAATCGAAACATGCCTCTCAACTTACGCCAATTTCCAATCTCGAGGTACCCAAGGACAGGGAGATATTATCTATTGAAGAAGCAGAAGAGGCAGAAGAAGAGGAAATAGAAAAAGAAAAAGAAAAAAAAGTAGAAGGGCAAGAGGAAGAGGAAGAAGAAGAAGATGAAGGAATATCGAGTAAAGTGACTAAAGTGCTCGACATCCTAGTGGAAGCCGAGAAAGATGGGAAAGCAAAGAAGGCGATTATGCGAACGACGAAATCGATCCCGATGGAAGATGAGATTCATCGTAGTTTGATCGAACCAACTTACAATAAATTCAAGCCAAATAAAAAGACACCGGGCAGGTTGTTGAACACCGTGGAAGATCGTGCTACCACAGATTTGAAAGAAATGTTGAAAGAAATGAAACATTCATTACCGAAACGTCCGAAACCAAAGAAACCTAAGTCAACTGATGAAGTATTATCGATTAACAATGATTACTTGCCAAGTACTAGTAAGATATCTTATATAGCTAAATCCGTATTGAAAAAGGAAGCAACCCCATTAAATCAAGCACCTCAGTTAGATTATGAGATTGAAAAGCAAAAAGTATCCTCTTCCTCGCAAACGAGTGGAAATTTACGTCGATTGAATCAACCGTCAACATCTTCATCTTCATCTTCATCTTCAGTTTCTTCCTCTACAGGATGGAAACAAGAAGATGTCGTTTACAGGACATCCGGTAAAACTGTCTCGGGTTTGGCATTAGCTAAGAACACTTTTCAATTGATTCGTCCTCGTGATTTCGCTGTGATAGAAGCTATCAAGACAACCAAGGGACAACAACAACAACAACAGCAACAACAGTTACACAAGGAAAACACTTACGCGAATGTAATCGAACGATCGCTTTACGCTAACGCCCTTGTTCCACCCACGACGAAGTACCAACGTGATGAGGAAGATCCTTCACGTGCTAAAGGGATCCTTCATTCTTCTCAGAGTGATGTAGGATTATCAAATATATCTCCTTCGAACGAACGACCATTTCTACAATATGACGAGGAACCTAAAGAAGGTTATTCATTCTATAATAATCCAATAATTAATGATTCATAATTTAAGCCAATCTAGATATCTCAAGTTTGATCGATAAAATCAAATAAATCAAATTAAATGCGAATCCTGAGAAAAAGACGCGAAAAATTTATTTGCTTTAATAATATATTTTAATATATTAACCGATAAATATTATTATTATTATTATTATTATTATTATTATTATTATTATTATTATTCTTTATTTTGTTTTTTTTCTCTTCCATTTATATTTTTAGAAGACACGACGAACAATAATATGAATACCTTGGCAATAAATCGTTTGTTGAGAAAATTGGAAGCAGCAATAGCTTCGGGTCATCATCAGCAAGCTGCAGGATTAGCAAAGGAATTGGCAAGATTAAAGATTCATTGTTCGGTTATACGACAACGTACAGCTCGTTTAAAAGATCGATCGATAAAGGTTAATATGTACATAGAGGATAAACTAGCGCATCAAGGACCTATACCTCTTCAGGTAAGTCGAGTGTAATTGTGCATCAACCACCGAACATCAATAGGTTGATCTAGGTATCTAAGGTATTTGAAGTCATTTATTAAATAACAATTCTAAGAAGTTAAATAAACGAAAGCCCCAACGCACAACCTTTATCGTAGTTACCAATGAGAATGACGGTCGCCGAATTGAAGATTAAAGTCTACACGGAATTCGAGATACCAACTAACGTGCAACGTTGGATTATTGGAAAGAATTTAGCTGATCGTGATGAGACTACGCTCGAGGAATTACAGGCGATCGATGGTTCACCTATTTTCTTATATCTCGTTGCACCGGGTAAGTTTTAAAATAGGAAAAAGGAAGGAAAGAAAAAAGAAATAAGAAATAAGACAAAAGGGACAAAATAAATAAAAAAAAAAAAACAAAAACTGATGTACGCACGTAAAAAGTTATACTTATACTAAATAACCTCAAAAATAACTTCAATTTGCCCGCGCATCGTAAATATCGACAACTTCGTGGTGTCAATTTTTCGGTCGCATCTAACCTCACTTTCCGAAACGCGCCAAAAGAAGTATAACTTCAAAAATGAAAAAATAACATGATTTTCTGAATAATTAACTATCGACTAGCTGACAAAGAGACCTTACGGTTGTGCTCTCACGAATTTAAACGAGCTTTGGTATATTATTAAATAATTGTTAAAGATTAAGATAATATAAACATGTATACAACCAAAATTAAAACTTTAAAAGCATTTTTTCTCATAATTGGCTTCGCATTTTGATAAAATACTTTACCACGTTAACACCCTAAAAGTATACTACTAATATACCAAAGCTCGTTAAAATCCGTGAGGGCACAACCGTAAGGGAAAAAAAAAAGAGAATAAAAAACACGTCCCCCTTCTCCCCCACACACATCACCCCCTTACCCACCCCTCGCCCAATCTTATTTAGAATTGCAAAAGGATTCCGTCGTAGTGCAAGCCGGGAAATCAAACTCCTTGGAAGAACTTTCGAAGGTTGAGAAGGAAATACATCAACCGGAAGAAAAAGTAATAACGACGAAGGAGGAAGTTAAACCGACTACTGTAACTCCTTACGATAAACAGGTAAAAATTGATTAACCCTTTGATTTTAACGATCTGATAAAAATAAAACATATATGCACATGGGTCGTTTTATATTTCAATGTATAAAAATAAATCGAAATATTGGATTTTTCATTGACGTATTGGGATATATTTTTGTTAAACGTGTCTTCTTCATATTTTTATATACCCTATTCTGTATTTTTTTTTGTTTATTTCTTTCATATGGAGGGACAGGTTGAACCGGAGGAAGAACAGACACCTGAGGAAGTCAAAATGGAACGTTACGAGGAATTAATATCATTGGAAAATTGTGATGTTATACCAAATTCCGAAGCTATCGAGTGTCCAATATGTTTCGTAACTTATGGTCCACGTGAAGGTGTTATTCTTAGAGATTGTTTACACATGTTTTGCAAGTATGTCTTATTATAAAACAAAAACTAATCATTTTCATCGAATAATCTTATAATTATTTGTTTTTTTTCTTTTTTTTTCAGATTATGTATAGCAAACACAATAAAATATTGCGAAGATGCTGAAGTAAAATGCCCATACAGGGACACCGAATATACCTGCGAGTCAACGCTTCAGGAACGTGAAATAAAAGCGGTTAGTCCGATTATGATTAAACATTAATTATAAAAATGAACAATACAATATCAATAAAGATATAAATACAATGGAATAACGTTTAGCTCGTCGAAGCTGAAGTTTATCAGCAACACCTTGCTAAGTCGATTGCTCAAGCAGAGAACAATGCTGGTAATAATGCGTTTCATTGCAAAACACCGGATTGTCCTGGTTGGTGTTATTACGACGATGACGTTAACAATTTTCTCTGTCCCGTTTGCGGTGTCAATAATTGTTTAACCTGTCAGGTAAAATATTGTTTCTTAATTCGATCGCAGGAAAATCAAAACGAAAATAAAAGAAAAATATATATATGTAAATTCGTTAAAATACGTTTTTAGGCTGCGCATACTGGAAAAAATTGTAAACAATATCAACAAGAATTAAGATTATCTAAAGAAACCGATCAAGAATCTCGTAGGACAGCAGCGATGCTTGAAGAAATGGTCGACAGGGGTGAAGCATTGGCGTGTCCTACTTGTGCAGTTGTTCTCATGAAAAAGTGGGGCTGCGATTGGTTGAAATGTTCGATGTGTAAAACAGAAATATGTTGGGTAACACGAGGACCACGTTGGGGACCAGGAGTAAGTTCAAATACATTCTTGCAAGAATGATTTAAACAAAACTATATTTCAAACGTATACATAATATAACACTTTTCTTTTATCGATCCTTTTTTTTATCTTTCACCAAATCCCAAAGGGTAAAGGTGACACATCCGGAGGCTGTAGGTGCGGAGAAAATGGAGTCAAGTGTCATCCTCGTTGCAATTACTGTCACTGAGAACCATCTAAAGTATTCTGCTTATTACCTTATCAACGCGGAACAAACACAATGCACCTCCTCTACCTATTCAAAAACGTCAACTCGACCCACTACTATTGCTATTGATATTCTAATGACGTTAGGGATTCAAAATAACACCTCATTGTATATGATTTCAAACAATACCAGAAAGAATGAGAACAATTAAACTCGTCATTATCAATTTATAATTAACAAGATTTGTAATAAATGGATAAACCATAAAATATCATTATCAATCTTACCCTTTAATACCATACATCTTATTCATTGTAATAAAATGTTTATTTGTAAACTCGCGAGTATATTAAATGTGCATACACTTTTTACATTTGGTAAATATAAAATTGAAGTATTGCTGAAGTAGGCCCTTACTTGAACAGTGTTAATATTGGGCCTATGAAGTTAATGATCTTTGGAATAAGCTGATTTAATTGTAACACGCGTAGAAAATGTTGTAAATAATATGAAATAGAAAAAAACGAGCGTAGAACGTGTAACGTGTTAAACATACACACGTGGATAGGTAACGAGTTTTATTTGTGTATATGTTGTAACAGATGTACATATATACACGTCCGTTGTCATCGAATTCGAAATCCTAACATTGAACGCGTTATGCTTTACGTATTTTACCTCGTACAATTGAAATGGACGAGATTGGGAAATGAAAGTGTGTGTCGACACAACGGAACTAACAGGAAATATATATATATATATATATATATATATCGTGTAATCGAATTTCTGCATTTTTACTTTTCGCGAAAACATTCGAATCGACATAGCATCGAGGAGAATCCCCTTTTTATTTGATGGTATTTTTTTTTTCTTCTTTTTATTGTTTATTTTTTATTTGCTGTCTTTTTTTCTGTTTTTTTTTTGTTTTTGGTCATTTCAAACCAACGAAACGGATCTCTAGGGAGGGAAATACATTTTTTTTATTTTCTTTAATAAATTTATATTCCATCGGAACGATTATATTTTTCTTTCTTTTTACCGAAAATTAATATTCAACAATTGTATATTACTGTTTTTTTTTGAAAATACGATTATAATCTAATTAAAATAATAATGAATTGTTTTCATTTAGAATGAGAAACGAAAAACAAAATATATTGTTAATTGAAATTTGATAAAAATTGTAACGATTAAAATTCGATTCGATGGAATTGTATTTGTGTGTTTGTACGATTGAAAAAATATTTCCAACGATTTTCTGCAATTATTTGTAACAATATTATTAATGAAATAATAATTAACTCGTTCTCTCGTATTACATACCAAAAATAAGTTTCCTTGGTATCCTTGTAAAAGTTGACATCAGTGATTCGGTCCAGCTTCCATTTCCTAAAGTTTCCCTAATAAGTAAGTGGCTTTTTACGAGGTTAGGTTATCAGCCCAACACTCAACCCCTATTAGTCGCCTTTTACGACAAGCAGGGGATACTGTGGGTGTATTCTAACTCCCGACCCACAGGGGGGAGTAAGAAGGGTGAGGATTTAATTTACCATTATAATCATCTATTTAATTTTACAATTAATACATTTTCTATTGATATATATAGAAAAGAAGAAACAGAAGAAGACAACTTTCAAAATATTCTTTAATGAATTGTTTTTTAATGTTTGTTATTAAACGTAATACAGTAGAATATATTCTATATTCTTTTTACAACAAATTTATTTTATTTTTTATATTTTCGATTTATTATAATTTATATTTATTTATATTTTTATATTCATTCGTTGGATAATCAATTTCGTTATCTGTACGTAGAATAATTGTCACACTTATTTTCATTTCAATATTTATTTTTATATATATATATATTATACATGAAATTGTTAAAGATTAGAATATATTTACAAATGTTATTTGTTAGTATATTAAAGATTTACTTATTTTTATATACCTGTTAAAAAATAAAATGTTAACTGTAATTTAATTAATCAATTTTCCTTTATTATTTGCGCAAGACATTAAAAAAATTTATTATTTCTAATTTTTTTTTATTTAAAACTTCTTGTGTGTTAAAAATAAAAAGAAGATACTAAAATTCGTTGCCATGGAAAAAACAACGTCATATCGTTTAATGCAAACAATGTTTGAAACATTAAACACATATTCACACGCACACTTTCGCATTTATCGTTTCTATTTTGTTTGTCTCTTATCTTTTTGAACCATTGCAAAATTGAGCTTGAACTTAAAAAAAAAACAAACAAAAAAGAAGATATTTATGTTATAGTTGAAATCATTTCAACGAGATGTCACGTCGATTACAAAAAATCAAATATCGACATTGTTTTGTTTACGAAATGTAATCTAATTTATCGATTTATGTATATCAGAAACCTAATTGCATGGCATTCGTAGTTTAACCACGTTGACTGGTGCATAGTGTTGTTTGATATGCCTAAAAGTTTTTCTTTTAAGCGAATTAAGAAGATAAAAATACAAATTTTATACGAGAATTAATAATGAACGTTTCTACGATTAATTCAACCATAATTTGTTCTAAAAGTGGGTATGTTATCTCATTTTTATTTTAATATTACATATTCGATTGCTTATTTATTACTGCATTATTTTTTTCTAATTTTTTTTTCTTTTTTCGGTAGGCGGATATTTTTCTATTCCAAACTTAAATTTTCTTACGCCAACAAAATTCAATGTGTAAATGTAATTAATAATTTCTTGTTTTTTTTTTTTCTTTTATTCTTTTATATTTCACACTGTGATATTTTTTATGAGTAGGAAAAATAAAAAAAAAAAAAACTCTAATTTTTGTTTCTAATAAACTTATTGGTCAATTATTAAACAAACAAAATGTGTACTAACGATATTGAAATATTTATTAATTTTAATTTTGTTAATAAAGTTGGTCGTTATGGAAATGACGCCATTAAAATTGATATTTTACAAAATAAAAAAAAGAAGACAAAAGAAACAAAGAAGCACCGAGCTATATACTAATAAATATACGAACACACAAATACGAAAACGCGTACGTATATTCGATTTATTTGTTTTATTTATTTGTGTATGTATCCTCTTTGTGATTATAAGAAAATCAAATTTTTTCACATTTGCGCGTTTATTTTTTTTTTTTTCTTTAATAATTAATATTAATTCTAAAAGAAAACATAAATTAATTTTACATTACAAATTAAAATACAATTTGTTGCTTTTGATAAACGCGTATTATAAATCGTATAAGATAAAATATGATTAATGTGTAGAATAAAATATATTATAATTAAATAATTAAAAATCAAAAAACGGTGATATAAGTCAAAGTCACAATTATATATTATAATAAATATGCAATGAGATGTGATAATCTCAAATAAATAATTCAAAAATAATCAAAAGAGAGAGACGAATTATATAAATAATAATCATTAAACATATGTGTATGTATAATAAAAACGAGATTTAGGAGGATAAAAAAGAAAAATATCCAAAATTTATGCGATTATTGCGATTATTAAATCAAGATGAAAAAGTTTTAATTAATTTTTTGTTCAAACTATAAAATCAGGTAGCAATCTAGTGCTTTATGCTTCTTAATATGTTAAAAAAAAAAATATATATATATATATAATCGTAAAATTCTTTTTCAATTTTTTTTATTTTTTTTCCTTTTTTTCAGGGAATATTTGGAATGCATATATCGTGTAAGTAATAATTAAATATTCGTTTATAAATATATTAATTGAATTTGTTTTTATATTCGTTCGTTATTATTTTTTTTCTTTTTTTTTTTTTAATTAAAAATTAAAACGATAAATGAATTTAGGAAACGGACGATAAATCTGAAACAATAGCTAACACGCAAATTGATGAAAAGCAAGAAGAAGAAAAAGAAGTTATTGAAGAAATTCAAATGAAAGAAATGAAAGAAATAAAATATGAAATACCGAATGACAAAGTATTAGAAAATCATACTTCCACGCATGAGATTGAAAATATCGAACTATCTAATAATACGGAAGATAATTTAAACGAAGAAGTAAAAGAAAATAAAAATAACAATAACAGAAATGAAGATGTCGTGGAATTCATAACTAAGGTGGATCAATATGTGGTATGTAAGAGAGAGAAATTATTAATTAAATATATTTTATTCTATTTTGAAAAAAAATATAT